CCCACAAAGCATAGCAATACTAACTGGACAAGTGCAAACTAGCAAACGCCGTAGTAACGCCATAGATGTCAAAAGTTTGCATACGCCAATCGCGCCTGCCATATACCTGCCGAAACTCTTTTCCATGTGTCTGCTAGGGGTAATACATCTGCCAGAGCAAAATCTTCCTACTAGTGCCTCTCCTACTAGAATGAAAGGGATAACTAGTGCAATCAAATACTGTAACAACCATCTTAAAGTACGAAGTGCACGCTGAACACAACTACAGATACTGGTGATGGTGACAAAGCCGAAGAGGGTTGACTTAAAGACATAACCCCGAGATATCAGTACGCAACCCTGTCCATAATGTAGAAGAACGGAGCTTGGAGTCCGCAGTTTTTTGTGTCCAGTCAGTCGGATTATATGTCCAATGAGCATCGTTCACAAGTCCAGGGTGCTCTATATATCCAAAAGAGCCAGTGAGGATTGTAACCGGGATGTTCTGGGCCCAGTTTTCACGCCTTTCCCTGGGAGGATTAGAACCACGAATTTTCAGCCTCTCAAGATAAGCTAGCAACCAAATGCTCATCAACAAGATGTAATCCCGGATGTTGGCGTTTCAGTATCACACAGCGGTGAAAATGCTCTTGCCAAGACAGGGCAGTCAGTGGAGGCTCGCCGGAAACGACTGAAAACATAAATCATCTAAGGACATTTAGTGAATAGCTCGGAATGGCTTGACCAGATTTCCGTTACATACACTCTCGGTCGTGCTAGAAAGACGGTGGTAGCCGGCTGGAAAAGTTAATCTAATTATCGCTCCGGAGGACGCGTGTTCGAATCCCACCACCACCACCTAACTTTCACCATGTTACATGACGGCCCTTTGATTGACCGTTTCCCCCTCTCTGAAAATTGCATCATTGGATATTCAATGGGTGGAAGAAAAAAATAAAAAAACATCAATATATAAAAAAGGAAAACGCGAGAGGTTCTGATTCAAAATGCAGCCCACTACCAAGCGGATACAAAATAAATATGTGAGTTTTTCATA